TGCATGACCCAAATCATAACGTTAAAGTTTAGCGTCATGATTTGAGTCATCTAAGTTTTTGTTTCGATCATTACCACCCATTACCACCCCACCCAATGCCCTAAGAGTGTTGTTATCAAATTGGAATTTAAAGAACAACTTCCTGTAACAATATAATAGTACTTTTAGGGAATTGGAAGGTATTTTTTAAGGACATTCATGTTAAGCACTGCCGCACAACATCACACAAAAGCTCCAAACCGCGTCTCAGGTAAGTTGGAAGCCTTAATTTTTTCTTTTATAATTTCATTTGGAGTCCGTCCAAACTTTTGGGAGCTAAAGTTTACATAATATAATATAAAATTTACCAATCGGAGTTTAATTGATGAATGGCTGGACTTCCATGCGCCAGCTGAAACTGTCACTGCCTGATTTTTTATTTCTGTCTGATAATAACTAATGTCCCTTGGATTTCTTTATTTCATGTTTAAAAAGAAAAACATACGTCGCCATTTGATACAATATCATGAAGCTTTTTTGCTCTTTTAGCTAAATACTACATGTTTTGCGCCACAGCATGTATGCACGTTTAATCTAACTTCCAAATAGACAAATATTTAGATGTAAAGATTTGTTGATGTGTAAATGTGATTCGACTGAAAATAAATAATTATACAAACAACAACAAGGATAATGACAAAGCTACATGAAATAGAAACGAACTAACAATTTGTGGCCTAACCAGGTTCGGTGGTGAAACTCTTAACAAACTAAAACGGCGTTAGGAAAAACTAACGAAACGACTGACTTGGTTGGAATCATCCAGTAATGAAAATTATCTAACGAAGACAACGCTTTCTACTGGCAAGAAATAAAACGCTACTGCCGGTTACGTGATTCTTACACAACCTCACGCAAAAACTTGAACGCAATTGAATAGAAACGTGACTTACGACAGTAGGTCAAGAAAGACAATATAAAACAATTTCGCAGTTACTTGACGACAAACAGAAATGTAAATTCTAGTGGCCACAGCTCTGAATTCAAATATAAAAGACTGTATTCGTAGGTTCCTTGTGAATGAATGAGCAAATAACTGGAAAGGTGTTTGCACTTCCACTTACCTTGCAATATTCCTAAAATGGAGTGGTTACGTGTTCCAGTTTGCGTACGTGTTCAGAACTTCCCGTCAGAAGTTGTCGACCGTGGACGGAAGTTGCATTCCGTGGACCGTGAACTGAAGAGTCTCGCATGCTACCCCTCCCCACTTAGTGAAAGTCAAAATTAATTTCCATGAAGCTCAGACACTCACGTGGAAAGAGACAATGATAACCTCAAATCACATTTCCGAATTTCTTAAAATGCAACTTGAGTCGAAAAGCCGGAATATTCACACCTAGAGGACCCGTAGCGGGTTCATTTCAAAACACGCTGTAACCATGCAGAAGAGCATCAGCATCAGAGGCAGCAATATTGGCAAGCGGCACATTTGCGTTCTTCTTCAGTTGGTATAAGGTAATAATTGCTCTATCATTGTGTTTGTCCTCGGGAGCATACAGTCAACACATCAATCATAGCGGCCAAGATAGTCTAAAATTTTCTTTCGAGCTCCATCATTTCGGTGCGGACTTGAGGCTCGCTCAAACAAAAACAGCAATACCAATCCAGTCAGTACAAAATGCAGACTGCAGACTGGGTACAAAATGCAGACTGAGAATTCAGACTGTTTTTTCGTTTGATACGTGCTAGCATGTCATCTTACAACTTACCGAGCGTCACCCAATCGCTTTTCCGCGATCATCTTTTACGATTATTTGCACTATTGTGGAATATTCCTTCCTCGTTTCTCGATCACAGACGTTCTTTATATAATTCAAGCCTTCCTAGAGTCTTCTCGCTGTGTGGGCGAGTTGGTTGGTGTATACGTAATGTCTTTACAGAATTTACCAACTTAAAGGCCCATTTCCAACCTTAATGCAACGAGCGCCACGACCCAATTTCCTTTAACACGAAATTCCCAGATCACTGAAACCTTCTAAAATCGTCTTTCTCAAGAGCCATCCTGGACATATAGTCAACTGTTTTACGGTAAAGTGTCACGCCTGGATCTCTACGTACTCTGTGAACAGAGTCAGCGAAAAGGACAACGTTCAAATTTTTTCACTTTCTAGAAGCGCTTGAGGATTCTAAATGAAGATAAAATATTTCCAGTAGAAATTGGTATTCTTCAAAGACAAATATGGAAAAATATCAGACTGCCTGACGTTTAATTATTCGAAGACCGTGTCCGGTAGTGTCCGGTGAAAATTTTCTTAGTGTCACGCTTGGATCTCTTTTCACTCTGTGTACAAGGTCAGCGACGGATAACGTTGGCATTTTTTAACTTTCTAGAAGCGCTTGAGGATTGTAAATGAAGGTAGAATATTTTACAACCAAAAATTGGTCTATTTCAAAGAGAAATATGGAGTTATTTGAGGACCGTGTCCAGCCGTGTCATTGAAAAGTTTTTAAGTGTCAAGCGCTTGGATGGCTTCATGCTCCGTATACAGGGTTAGCGAAAAACATCAAGTTCGAAATTTTAGGCTGCCAGGAAGCGCTTGATGATTGAAAATAAAGGTAGAACATTTTCGTATAAATATTTTTTGGATTTCGAAGAGAAATATGGAAAAATGTCGGACTGCCGAACGTTTAATTATAAATTATTATGAATAAAAACGTGGTAGATCAGTATTTTCACCTTCTTCGAAATGCTCACCAGGATTCTCGCGTTCCTCTTCAGCAACAACCGATCCATAAGCGTTTGCTGCCTCGGAATCTACTAAATCAATGGATTTATCTGATTCCATACCGGATTAAAACGTATAGAGCTGTTTTGAACATAATTATTTTGATAAGCTCTTCAAATTAATCGGAGAAAACACAGAAGGTATTTTGAGACGTGACAAGGTAAAAATAACTGGCCAATCAGAGGCGCTATTTAAACAAAAGCGGTGGTTCATAACAAAAACAAACGACCCCGTTGCATCAAGGTTGGAAAAGGGCCTTTATTAGGAGTGGATGTGGATGTAGATGTAAATGAAATGTCACAATCGAAAATTTTACACGCGCAGTATTCGAGAAACAATTAACAGCTTTGCACGTGCTCCATACGTTTCATCTTTTTAACCTCTTTGTTGACAAAAATGCGGATCGGGACCAAAACTGTTCCCTCGACTTGATATATTTTCAACGTGACTGGTCATGTATTTACTTTTCTGGTGGTTTTATCTCTCATCTGTTTGGTGACTACGCAAATATTAATATGTGGAAATAAGACTATATGAAGGTTTGAAATTCTATTAAGAACGATTGTGGCCGCTTTGTTAAGAACCAAATGCAACGGCGGCTTTGTTAAAAACAAAAGATATCAAGAAACGGGCAAGGAATATTTCACAATAGTGCAAATTATCGTGAAAGATTTTGCTGCTAGAGCAACATTCGATGCCTTATCATGCCCAACCAGCCCACCCTCCGCCCCACAAACACACACAAACACACACCAACAAAAAGGATACTGTCTGCCTGATGAACTCTGCCCATCCCACCTTCAGCCCACATTTTAGCATATTCTCCACACTGTCCTCTGGCATTTCCAAAGGTGCTGACTAAGAGAATTTGTTTACCGATCAAAAGCTTATTTCGTTGGTGATCATTTCCTTCATTCTCATGACCTTAATGTGTGATATTGTGGGGAGAAATTTAATGCTTGTCACTCTTAGGGTTTTAACTGACGGGTTAACGTGACAATTGACAGGAAACTCTAACAAAGGTGTGGTATTTGCTACGCGAAAGTTAATAGTTCCTAAATCTCGGAGGAAAATTGACCTTTCATAGCAACAACGAGCGAAATCTTTTTAAACATATATGCGGCAACCTGCAAACCTTGTGATAGCCCACTTTTCGATATTGCTTTTCTTTCACTTTTAACTAGTATAACACTCATGTGTCGTTTGTCTTCTGTCACGTGTGCTTAACTTACCTCAAGAGAAACAAGAAAATAAGTATTTTGAGAGTGCATGTGGCTACCAATATAATATAATTTTAATAGCATGGAAAAGAATTAGAAGTTGCATATTGATGCCAGAAGGAAGTCTTAAAGATTTGTCTCAAATGCCAAACAGAAAACCTGCCACATCCCACATATTTATGAAGAGTATCTTGCTCCACAAGAGAAAGATGATTCAATAAGAAAGAGACTAACTGACACTCAACCACTGATTTAATAGTATCAAATAATTATATTAACAATAATAATAATAATGATAATAATAATGATAATAGCGATAGTAATGATAATTTTTAGGGGCTAGCTCTATCAGTCTATCCTTTAGGATCCCATAATGATTAAACTAAACTTCCTCTAGTTCTGCCTATTAATTATAAATTATATTCTTTTAATTCCTTGCAATTCCATTTTTGTGAGACTTTAAATGATGAACACAATTACGTGTGACTTCGGTTACACTTTCTTTTCAAAGAAAAAATGTTTCCTCTACGTTTCCATGATGCGTCGATGACACCTTTTAGATATTTCTGCAAGGAAAAGCAGTATTGTAAAACATCGGGTCAAACTTGGGTCAAGATCAGAATCCTATTGTCACTATTGTTATTTACTCACTCACTCACTCACTCAATTCGACGACAATTGTGGCTTTACCTCCTATAGGAGGCAGTAGCCTCAAAAAACGAAAAAAAAGCATTGACATTGAAAACAGCAACACTACGATTATTAAACGTTATCATTTTTTATCCCATAGTAAAGTTAGTAAAGAGGGCCTCGCTATGCGCTATAATGCCTAAACAAGCTTCAATTGATACGGTTGACCTAGAGAGTTGAGTCAGGGAGCTGATTCCTGGCACAAATTAGGTAAAAAAATTTATGTCAAAGAACATTCAGAGATTAAGAGATTTCTTCCCTAAAGTTAAGTCATAGCACTGAACTTTCTCTTTGCAGTGTCACTTCGAGGTAAAGTGAAAGTAGGATGCAATTTGTGTTCATCAATCATTTGATCAGTTTGATGCTGATATTTGTTATGGTGCATCGTGTCTTGAGCGAGGGATGTAACAACGCCAGCTGGTGGAGAAGCTTGGATACGCCCTCGAGATGGTCGGTGTGTCCAAGAAATAACACCTACCTAAGGGGATTCTGGAGGAGTCCACACAAAACCGGAGATGAAAGAGTTGGACGCCTTGAAGAAGGAAGATGCTGTGATGCTGCGGAGCCGCGTTACGCCGGTCAGCCTTCAAGATGTGTAAATGCAAACTGGTCACGCACGTTGAATGGGTGAGCCAAGCTCTTCATGAAAAAAATTGCAAAGATGGTGGCGTAAAACTACTATGCGGACGTTGTGTCTAGTTTCAACTTTAAAAGGATTGATTACAAGTTGAAAACAACCAATTGCTCACCTGGAACAAACTTCGGACAAACTGATACTTTGGAAACTCAGAGACAAATATCATAAAATAAGATTTTGATACACATTCCTTAAAAAGAAAAAGGAGAACCCTGTAAAGATAAAAACTTGCCCAAAACGCCAATTTCTAATAGCCAAATGGGGACAAAAACTAATGTTTCTTCGCGAATTTCGCCAAAAGTAATAAACCCAAAAAATTAAAAACCCAAACAGTTTCAGGCTCAATTAATTTTTGTTTTCTTTCTTTTTTTCAGATTTAATGTCTGGGCTTTGTGTCCAAAAGGCTTTTACATGAATGGCATCAGAACAGGATCTGCTCACCTCTTGCAATCATTTTTGAACAACATCGAAGAGGCAAGATGTTGCCATCCAACGGATCATCCCAGCCGTTATGAAGACTGTTACGATGAAGATGTTGCTATTTCATTCAACACCGAAGGTTGGAGTGAATGCCAGAAGAATGGTTATTACATGACCGGTTTCTACAAGAGTAACTGCCATGAACTTAACTGTATTGACAAGTTCAGATGCTGTAAATATCTCTTGAGAACTTCAGATGCTGAAAACGGTAATTATATTGTTTCCACCTATTTCTTTATACAAAAAGAGACCAAAAGAAAGACTTTCTTGGAGAATCTTTAATTTCCAAATTTGCGATGCGTCAAAGGTTAGACTCAACCGATTTTAAGTGACCTGTACCACTTGCTTTTTCAATTCCTTGGGGTTTTCTTTCCCCAATATATTTCGAAAGAAAGTTCTAAGAAACACTTTTAAATTTTGACCTACAAGACATACTCGGAGACTAAGATTAAAATACTGCTACCTTTTACAACCACAGTTACTAAATCTATAACAATAAAGATATGTAAGCATGTATGGTTTTTTATATTCACATATTACCTCATGTTAATCAACAGGGCAATCAACCCCAATTACAGATCTACAGCGAGAGGTATACAAATCTTGGGTGTTTTCTAAGCTAATACCAAGTTCGATTTGTTTTGGACGTGAGCCGGAAAAACAGAGTCGAGTACATCGGTCGAGGCTTCTGTTTTAGGAGGTTTTTTGTTCCGGAAAACTATCAAACTACATGATGGAAGGCCAGGATGGTGTTCAAAATACCGCCATATGAGATTTTTTCCAAAACTTAGAAAATAACTGTTTGCGTCTGTTAGAAGCGTGTTAGCACTTTCATTTCAAAATATTTTGCCATCATGTTACCTTTTGTGACGTCGCATTTCGTTACCATGACCAAACAATCTTGAAGCGCTAATATAAAATCTTCGTGAATAGAAGTGTATCTTGAAGCGATCATGTTTTTTTTCTTTCTAACCACCCTTAACTTGTCGACCAGGTTGATGCCATTATCACCGGTAGTTACCCTTCCGCCAACTTAAGCACGATCATCACAAAATTTCTCAATTTGACAAAGACTGGGGACGAGCTTAAACTCAACCTAAACGAACTTTCTCTCTCCGCGGATATCCTTAAACAACTTGTGCAGTATAACTCGATGAAAAACAACAGCGCGATCGGCCCAACATCAGACCAACAAAACATTGTGAAAGTGGCAAGTAATTTACTGGAGGAGGAAAATATAAAAACATGGTTGCTGTTGCAGGAGGTAATTTGCCGATCCTGAGAAAAGTTTTAATTTTCTTTTTCTATGTTTTATTTTTCTATCATCAGCTGTATTTTCCTCTTTCATGATTGAAACAGAATGGTAAATAGTCCTTTAGCCATCACTTTACTCAGTAGTGTTCTTAGCTGCGAGGATCTTTTAATTTCATCTCTCCACCGCAGTGCAAATATTTGAATTTTCATATATCTAAAATCACGTTATATCATGATTATATGTCGGATAAGTCCGTGATTCTCATGATGAAGTATACTCAGTTTTTTTTTTATTTTTCATTCACGGGTAAAGTGAAATATCAAGGACTGGCATGGGTAGTCCAAAACATAATTTAGCAAACCAAGGTTCTTGTGAAATGTTACTTTTGTTTTGGTTTATTTTCTGTTTCCTGGGTTCATTTTTGCTTTACTTTAAGGTGGAACGTGGCACTAATGAAGCTTCAAACAAGAGAAATTAAGACCAAGATTAATCATTATTTAAATCCCGGTTGAGTACTAAAAGCTTTTTAAACAAACGGCCTGAACCCTATGTAAGATAACATACTTATAGCAAGATCTCCCCGAGAGATTTTTAAATCATCTTTTTGTTAATTAAGAATACCTGATTGTTTAATCTTTAATGGACAAAAATAGAAATAGATTTAAATTTTGCAAGGCTGTTTTTGGAACCCTTCAAAGGCCCATTCACCGATTGTTTGCATTCACTGCAGAAAATTTATTATCTTAAACTTGACTTATTAAAATCCAGAAAAGGGAAAACATCACTGACATACTTCTGAAGACTATGGACGACTTTGCTTTTCAAGTGAGCTGTAACCTTGGTAACTCAACCAGTAAGTCGGAGTTATTATCAAGAAACATTGCTCTTAGAGTTGATCGCTGGAACCCAAAACATGAGGCAAGTCAAAGGTCGATGTTAAATCTTTGCTTTGACCCATAATGTTAGTTAATTCAGGAACATTTCTGCAATTATGAATCGGGTTTAATGAGATATTTCATTGATTTTGTGACCTGTCGGTCTGAGTGAATATGTATTTGTATATTTCATTCCTAGTTGAAGGTTGACTTCGCTCAATATGGCGCAACAATCCTTGTTCCTGGCTCAGCGATCTCGGACACAATAGAAACTCGCATGTCCACCATTGCCTACGGAACACTTAAAAATGTCCTTAGGCTTCCGGTAGATGGACCCAGTAATAATCAGAGCGCCGGAGGTAGGCTTCGGAGGAGTGGCACAAGCATTGTTTCTGTCACTATTCATGATCGTGTATCTGGTTCCCTGAATAAACCTATCAAGCTGGCTTTTAATCACAATAACAAGGTATTGATTGGTTTGTATTGTTAGTAATACCAGTTGCAACAACAACAACGCATGGGAAACCTACTCCCGTCAGTTTTATGGGTTAAAAAATGCTGCTGGACAATATAAATAGATCTCAGTTCTTAATCAGGGTAATCGTCGATAAATCGTTTTTATTCTATACCTATCCAATTGAGCACAGTGATAGTTGTTGGCAGCTCAGGTCATCATTCAAGTTCATAAAGGTTCCAGGGAAAATTTTACGACAGTGGTTGCTGAAATATAAATTTTTCCCCAGTATAGCGTCTCTTGAACAGTAAGTCCTAAAAACCAAGTGAAAAAAGGGTATTATTTCATAGAGGAAATGAATCAGCTTGGTGTTGCTTTTTGAGAGTTTAGTATTACTCTCATGCATAATCTCTTTTTTTTTTTTTTTTTTGCAACGTATCCTGCTGTCTAAGTTTTAATCATAACACTTTCATTGCAGCGTTCTGATTTGATTGGACAGTGCGTTTTCTGGGAGATCGACCAATCGCAGAGGACGTGGCTGACGCGTGGATGTGTTCGCGTTGATCGTGAGTCAAACCCGCGTGTAACCACGTGCGAGTGTGATCACTTAACCATCTTTGCAGTCTTACTGAACAACAAGCCAGTGAGTCTTATATATAGTCTCTTCAGTCCGATATTTTGAAATAGACACTGTTCGATCATTGTCTTTATTTTATCAGTAGAATCGTAAACAAGTCGCTTGATTTACTATTTGTTACTTTTTTCTATTTGTCATTGGTCTCAAGTCGTCAAAATAAAATACTCACAACGTATTTTTTACCTCTAAATATATTACACAACTTCCACTTATTTAAATTCTTGTTTCTTTGCATGTTGCTACTTGTTGCCTAATTCATAAAAACTCCCACACAGTTTTTTTCTGGTTTTCATTTCAGGTAAAATCTCGTCATCAGCCGTACTTCAAATATATTTCTACTGTAGGTTGCGCATGTTCACTTTTCTTTCTGGTGCTCACTTGTGTGACAATCTTAGCCTGTTGGAAAAAGTTGAGAAGTTTTCGGATAACAATGTTACTGCATTTGTTTGCTGCCATTTCGGTCTCTTGTCTTCTAATTATTATAGCTGGAAAAGCAGAAAGACCAAAGGTAAATATCAAATGTGTTTCGATACTCGTTTTTAAAAAAAGTGTGTCTATACTTCTGTACTTCTGTTCAGTAATAGATCAAATATGAGATAAAAATGAAGTAAGACCAGAAAGGAGGCAAAGGGGCGCACCCGTGTGTCGTGGATTTTCGTAATTCATCTTGAGTTTTCTGTGATCTAATACAAAACAGAGCCATGGCAGCATGGAATTGCTCAATATAAGGAAGTAGAACAGTCTAAATTGTGACGTAATCGGTGCTTCTCTCCTTTAACAGATCATAGAAAAGATCCGATCAAAATTCATGCCTAATTTTACTTATCATATGATATTTTTCATTTATTCATAGATTTATTTTACATTCACAGGAGTTATGCACAACAACAGCAGCGTTACTCCATTATTCCCTCCTGTCTGTATTTTCCTGGATGCTGTGTCATGGTGTCATATTATACTTCGTGATATTAAAGGCTGAACGGCAAGAAATTCTGGCATTGAAAAAGAAATGGTTCTACGCTCTAGGATGGGGTAAGAGCAACATTCCTTGAACAAGTACATTTTCATCCCCACATGCATTAGACGTTTTTAAGCACCAAAATATAACGCCTCATTTAAAAGGGTCAGAAAATTTGGTAGTTGCTTTTGTTAATACTTAATTAATTTCTGGCTGTTCCAGGTGTTCCAGTCCTAATAGTGGCCATTTCTCTGACAGTAACTGGAATCAAGTCTTATGCAGCAAATAACTGTTGGCTTACAACAGAACATTGGCTCATTTATTGGGCGTTTGTTGCTCCAGTTGCCATAATCCTATTAGTAAGTATACTCTTTTAACAATGGCGCTCCTTTTATGGTGTAAGATATGTTTTATGCAGACACCGTTAATATGTGAGGTATCGCGCCGGAGGATTTTTTCCAACAAATATCCGATGATATTTTTTGGCTTAATCAAAACGATTGTCATCATAGTTAAGAAGCTCAGTTGGGGATGAGAAAATCTTAGGAATAAAAGGAATGGTAAACTACGTGTATACTTGTAGTACTGAGGGCAAAACACTCGTAAGCAGAGACTAGAAGCAGGATTTCTATTTGTTTTTCTTCGTTTTGGTTTTTTTCTATCTTTTCTTCTTTTATCAATCCTCTTGTGAATTTTTGCCTCTAGATCAACTCAATTCTGTTCATTTTCTTGCTTCGTCGGATACTCAGAGCGACTAAAACCAAAAACAACAAAACACCTGCCAAGCACGTGAAGGATTGGTTGAGACGTTTTGCAATGCTACTGCCAGTTCTGGGTGTCACGTGGTCGTTTGGCTTTCTCACGTTCATTACATCAACAGCAGTGTTTCATTACATATTCACCATATTGAATTCGTTCCAAGGACTTTTCATATTTGTGAGCTTCTGCATTCTAGACGATTCGGTAAGTCTCTAATTTTTTTTTCATAAGCTCCGAAAGACCAAGAATTGTTCCCTATGATTTTCCTTGTACATATATAGTATTTATATTGTGTAGACTTTTGAAATTACGTGAAATAGCTAAGCGAAAGAAAACTCATTGTATTCAAAAGCAAGCGGTCTGAAGCTCAGAAGTAGGGCAAAAGGGGAAGAATTTGCATGAATATAGTTTTACATTTACATTACAAACGTCGCTTTACTATGAAGTTATAGTACCATGTAAAGTAGAATGTATGAATTCCTGAGGTACTTTTGGTTTGCTACTTGTTGTTTCAAATTGGTTACCTCAGTTTTACCCTGCGAGCAGTTAGTTTTTTATCCCCAAACGGCAGGTTAATCTTAATTTGCTTATTACAGACTTAAATGCAGGAAAATTTATGATCGACGAGATGGATGAAGTGACGAACTTCTTTTAATTAAATTTTCATTAGGTTAAAAAATCTATTAAGAGTGTTTTGTGTGTGAAGATGAATACCACCAAGAGAGACACAAGGAGAAGGAAACGTCATTTTTCAAGTGTAAATATGGGTAAGAATTGACTAAATAGAATTAAGTTGGATGTTTGAGTTGATTGCTGGACTAGCTATGTTTCAACAAACTATGCATCTTACTTGTGGTGAATGACTGATGCGATGGCAAACAAATGGACGTGCTTGCCTGTAAGATGAACAAGAAATGTGCGCCATAAAACTTCCCTCTCTAGTGCGAGATTAAGATAACATTGTTAGCGAGGCTTCTTTTCACTTTTGTTTGTTTGTTTTGTTGTCATTTCTTTTTAGTCGATTTTGTTGTTGTTGCTTTCATGGTTCCAAACGGACTCGAGGCTTTTAGAATCGTAAATGAATGAACGGAACTCGGGCCAGATACAGCTAGGGACTTTTTGTATAATTTTTATCATGAACTAAAAGCATCATAAAGAATTAATCGAGAACTGTGGGCTGTTAAGTTTAATAATAAGTTGAGTGCCAAGAATTCTTAAGAAGGGATGAAACGCTTTGTTCTCCAAGTTCTGACCCTATTTCAAATCATTAAGTATTATATTTAACACCAGATCTTCAGACCGGATCTTTACAGTGATCTCAATAGTTTAGACGGCACATCATCGAAGAAGTTCTCTCATGTTCTTAATTCTGATTCATGTTGCAGAGTTACAACTGATTTAAAAAGACACATGGAACATTTCACTTGGAATAGCTCATAACCGCTGTACAAAGTCCTCCACATATTTTTTCTACCTTTAATGGTTCTGCTTTTACTTTGTTTTGTTCTTTTTTGTATTTTTGTGAGTATTGATAAAATTTATCATTTCCTCAGACACTAAGTTACCTCTTAGGCCAACTGAGGTTTGAACATCGTGTTTAATTTTATAGTAATTGTCTAAAAAGGATAATTTCTGCGTTGATTAATAAGACGGAAAGCGATAAACAGGTTTCTATATTGAGTATCGGCCACATGACAGTAAAGGAGCTTTGGCTTTCTCAGCACTTTCAAAAAGCAAGAGACCAAAATAACGGGGAGGAAATTAAGGTAAATATATCTCCTAAACAAAAACAAATTATTACGTTTTTTTTGACTAACACGCATGAAATAAATACCAACAAAAGACTGCGCTTTTTTTTGCTTTCTTTTTCTAATAGTTGCTTTGTACCTGTAGGCAAGGAAAGTACGTTTCCGTAATCAAAAAACAGAATAATATTAAAGGGATGAACAGTGAAGAACTAGAAGAAAAAGGAGATGACAAAGAATGATGATGAAAACAACAAAATGTAATTTCATGCTGGTTAAAATTAAGGAAATAAAATCTAAAATTTTTTCGCAATCATGAAGGAAAATCTTTTTCCTTTATGTTTTAAAAAGTCAAAAAAAGGTTGGTGGATTGGGTTAATTCTTTTAAGTTGATGCCAGGGAACTCGGTGCCCTCTTGAACGAAACCTCAGGCTAAAGGGTAGTTGTCAGGGCGAAGGTAGATTAGCTATGCTGATACCGCTTTGGACTAAAGCGTAATTCAAGTGAGTATTCAACTTGCATGCAAATTGTTCATTTTTCATCATAATATTTTGCGGAATTAAAATATGTCATAAGTACCGATGATTTGTGTTCTTTGTGATCCTGTCACAAGCACGGTTTAGAGAATATAATAGAGCTTGTTGAATGGTTAAGGAAAGGTTAAGGTGTTTATACATTAAGAAGAAACTTTCGTCCAAGAATGTTTTCTAAGAGCTCACGAAGTGATGCGGAGGTGTTTCGATACCAACAACAACCATATCACTAAGTAAGCACTTTCATTATGTCACCTTTTTTAGTCCTAGATGCTTATGATTCGTCTTAGAAAGTCCTTCAAGGAAGGAGGAGACACATCAGTGTTCAACGAAGGATTAAATCTGGATAAAACATTTGACTTCCTGTTAATAGTATCATAAACTGAATATGCTATTGTTTTCATGATAACAAATGCCTTTCAGAAGGTCCTTAAGTACTTCATATTTGACAAGGGTCAGCAAGCTTGAAGATTGTAATCTGAACATCTGTGTTACCGCTAAGGAGCAGATCTATAAAATTTACTCAGGTGGACGTCAATGTAAACTAATCAAATGAGGAATGTAGGTATTTTTACCAGTGCTATAAACGAGACTTGTGTCAGCCTCTGTCAGCTTGGATATTTAGAAGAGTAAAACAAAAAAATAGCACCATTACAAGGATTGTTAAGAGTGTTAAACCAAACTATAAAACTTTTAAGACCAAGAAAAACTGACTCAGTGAAGTTGGTAATTGATGCATATGTTTTATGAGTCTATATTTTTTGTGCATCACTAACAGCAGTGTACAGTCTTAATCAAGAAATATGATCTCTTGGTCTTAATTTGATACCATTGCTTTCATATGATGGAATGATACATACATGTATTGTGGAGAACTTTTGATTTCTTGATTTTCTTAAACATTTTCGCGGCTTTATTCTAATACCAACTAATTTACGCGCATTCTGTTGGTTTTTTCACTTCAGCATTCATTTATTCAGTGTCATTTTTGCGCTATGTAAATTACTATGCCCTACACATTTCTCGTTTCAAGCCCTTAGAAATACTTTTTTCTTTTAGTTCTGTTTAAACCCCCTTCGTGCGAGTGTTTCGTGTTTCGTGTTTCCTATATTTCCCTCAGCATTTGGTAAGTTTTTTTTCGCGTCGTATTTATGTATTTATTTTATTGTCTTGTTTTGTTAGTTTATTTCGTAAAGGTCGTTTTTCTGATTTTTATTGATTTACTTCTTCTTCACATTAAAAAGAGAGAAGAAAGCGGGCCCTAGCCTTTTCAATACATTCGAAAGTGTTCGAGTATATATTCGTGCATGTTCGAATATTTCAACAAAATTTAAATGCTCCTATTTTACTGTTGGGTCAGTAAGAAGTTAAGGGGCAATTTTCGATTCATTCTTTTGAATTTTCAATGCCCTCATCTGCAGAGAGAAGTTTCCATTCCAATGTTCTCTCGTAGCCCCTCAACATGGTCGGGCGTCGGCAGTTCAGGGCCCATTTAAAAGGGAACACTGTGTTCTCGCACTTGACAAAGTCACGGAGATGGAGTCCAAGTGAGGCAACCAAAGATTTTAAGGAGGGGATTTTCTTTTTCCCTTTTAACGATGCAAGATCTTCATCTGTGTTAGGAAAGAGGAGAGACGCGCGTAGAAACATGACGAATTGTTGAGTTAGGTTCAAGTATTCTACAACAGCCGACATTCCAGATAAATTAGCCAGCTCAGGGTTTCGTGTGTCTTTCAAAGCTTTCTGGACGAGGTCATCCAGGCCTATCATATTAGGCAAGATGTGAATCACTTCCGGCATGTAATTTCGGACCCAGTTGATTGCCTCGGTGGACATGACCGCGTAAGGATTGGTTTATTAAGCATGCCCATGAATTTCGTCAGTAGAACAGTGAGTGGATAATAGTCCCATAAGTTAGAAGTGGTGATGCGATCATATCTTAGATCTGCTGGCAAGAAAGCTTCGACATTTAGGAAGTCAGATAGAATGAAGTAACATTTAATGCGATTTCGTCTGAGTTTTTCCATCGATTTGTTAAGAACAAGCGATATATAGATGCTGTACATTCGCGTTATGGATTTGTCATGACAGATTTTCTTGACTGCATTGTAATCCCACCCGGTAAATGGAAGTACATCGGTCGGTAGGCTGTAGTGAAAGTCAGAGTTCCGAAAAAACCGTTGAAATCCACGACCTGTCAAAGTGGGATTCTCGCGTTTAAGCTGTTTAGTATTTTTCATCGAAGTAAAAATACCGGTATCAAAATACCGTCGGGTGGAATTCTTGTGATATTTGGGAATGACGTGTATGTAGTGATTTATGCCTTCTTCTCTTCCAAAATCACCCGAGTTAGCTTCCTGTCGTAGCTTCGTCACTCAAGACCCTTCGCGCTGTGTTAGGCGCAGCCACGTGTTCCACACGTCTTTCAACTGGATCAACTGGTCAGCAGGAATGTCCATAAATTCCTCAGTGAGTGTGCGCAGCTCAGTAGAATCCACAAGCTCTTGTAAGGCTAACAACAGCGAAGTGAAATCCTGTTCGCTGATACGCAGCGAGTACCAGATATGAATCACTGCTGAAGCCATATCATTTCCTCCTGCGATCAGAGAACAAGAATTTTTAACCTGAGGCTTTTTAAGTCAAACAGTGGTCTTCCCTCATCTCTCGTCTGTCACGATTGCCTTGAGTGGATGCAACGCAATCAAATCGAAAGTGGACAAAATAGTTCAATTTAACGCGGACATAACGGAGAAATCTCAGTTTGCCCCTTGATTGAGTAAGAAGGTTGAGCGAAAATTCTGTAGACCGATCACAAAGTCCAGAAAAGAAACACCAATAAAATACGTAATTACATTCGACATAGCATTCAAAACTTTACCAATTACTTGATAGTTCGTTCGGCATTTATTACAACCGCAACAGAATACATAGCAAGCGT